GTTATTTTTTTATTGCTGATCCTACCAGGTGAGCTCTGCGGTGAGGATCCAGGAGAGCAGCGTGGAGAGAAGCTGAGTCCCGGGTGGAAGGAGTGCGGTGGGACAAACGACATGATCTCCTCGTCAAACAGACTGCAGCACACAGAAGAACAAATACAGAAATATTAGGACTTTTGGCAGACATTGTATTTTCACTATTATGATTCTCAGTTTAGCATGCTTCAGACACAAACAAGAGCTGATGCTGCAATGGAGCGACGGATAGTATTATATATTATAAATATAATCGATATAACAGAACTATATATATATATATATTATTCATTCATTCATTCATTTTCTTGTCAGCTTAGTCCCTTTATTAATGCGGGGTCGCCACGGCGGAATGAACTGCCAACTTATCCAGCAAGTTTTTACGCAGCGGATGCACTTCCAGCTGCAACCCATCTCTGGGAAACATCCACACACACATTCACACACACACACTATGGACAATTTAGCCTACCCAATTCACCTGTACCGCATGTGTTTGGACGGTGGGGGAAACCGGAGGCACCCGGAGCAAACTCCACGCGAACACAGGGAGAACATGCAAACTCCACACAGAAACGCCAACTGAGCCGAGGCTCGAACCAGCGACCTTCTTGCTGTGAGGCGACAGCACTACCTACTGCGCCACTGCTTCACCCTATATATATATATCGTTCAGAGCTTTATAAAAATATATGGCCTGTCAAATCTCTTGTTTTGCCATTATAATGTGGCCCTTGAGGACTCTCCTGCAGCAAAGCACATCAGCGTCTGAACTGTACCTCAGCAGCATCACCAGATCCGCATCACAGGACAGCTTTTCCACACCTTGAGCTCCTTCAGTCCTGATGTAATGGATCTTCTCCCTGAGAGGAAACACACACACACACACACACACACACACACACACACACACACACACACACACACACACACACACACACACACACACACACACACACACACACACACACACACACACATCAACATCTCAGATTTCCAGCTTTCTCCATGCTGAGCAGCTCCTGAAAGCTCTGGACTCAGGGAATGTTCATTGTTTTGAGAGTGCACTGCAGATGAACGGGCGGTAAGAGTGCTTTCAGCAGTGCTATTACATTAGGATCACTTCACTGCATTAGTGCTGCTGGTAATGCAGCTTGCTTACTCTATATACACACACAACGCCAAACCCTCATTCATGTTCTGTTCTCTACTCTTCAGAGAATGTTTCATGCATCTTTATGCCACCTTTTAATATGAGCTTGACACTGAAAAGAAAGTTCTGCTCTGTTATAATTAGTGCTGTCACACCATCATGATTATCCTAAATAAATGTTTGTAGTTAAGTAATATATTCATGTGTGCTGTATATTTATGTATACATGAAAAAAAACACACACACACACACACAAAATCTATATCTATACACACAAAAATATAAAACCATCAAACATATACACCAACCGGCCACTTTATTAGGTACATCTGTCCAACTGCATGTTAAAACTAATTTCCAATAGAGCAGCTTTGGGATGTAGTTGAGATTGGCATCATGGATGTGCAGCCGACAAATCTGCAGCAACTGTGTGATGCTATCATGTCAATATGGAGCAAAATCTCTGAGGAATATTTCCAGTAGCTTGTTGAATCTCTGCTACCAAGGATTAAAGCAGTTCTGAAGGCAAAAGAGGGTCTGACCTGGTACAAGTAAGGTGTACCTAATAAAGTGGCCGGTGAGTGTATATTTACATATAAATCAATATCTTATACAATACAGTCATGCATTTATTTAAATACACAGTAAACACAAATATATTTTGTAAATATGAACTTTAATTTTCAATGTGATTGTTCGACAGCACTAATTCTAATAATAGTTTTGGTCATTTGGTCATAATTAAATATTTTGTTTTGTTTTAATGTCAGCCCTTCAACAAACTTTCAGTAACTTTGTCACGTGCTTTTGCCATTTAAATTTTTCTTAATAAATCTATAATTAAATTTTAATACTTCAGTTTTCCAGCAGAACTAAAAGAAATAAGAGTTTCTCCAGAAGATAAACATGACAGGAAATACTGTGAGAAATGTCCCTGCTCTGGTCAACATCACTACAAATAAACTTGACAGTAAAAATACTTCTGTCAGTATAGTGTGATCATCTGTTTACCAGAAACACCGGCTCAGTGTGCTGCGAGTTCCCATCATGCACCTCACCTGAGTGTGTGGTTTCTGGATAGACTCGGCTGTCGCTCCTGCAGCGTGTCCAGTATGTTTGGTTGACGGAGGAAAGCCACAATCTTGTCATTGTAGGCTGAAGAAGACATAAATATGATGAATTCCTCATACAGAACCAATTTAAAATACACATTATATGACCAAACAGGAACAGCAAATACAAAGCCCTCATTTTTGATGCACGTTTTGATGCATATTTTGGAAAATCACATTAATAAATGCTCAATGGGGACCG